TGAGTGGCAGAAGAACACTGCTTCTGCTGCTGGTTCTGCTGCTGGCATTGGTAGGCACAGCTTGGGCAGCACCTGCCTCTGCAAGCCTGCTGTGGCCGTTTCTTTTCCCAAAAAAAAAAAAGTATTTTGAGGAACCAGGTATTTTTCTTTGGAAACTAAAAGTATAACTCTCCAAGGCTACTGTTTTTGAAGGATGGATTCAGACAGAAATGGCCTTTCTGAACGATAGGTTTAAAATTACCCTGCCATTATACAACTGCTTGGCTTCTCTCCAGAAAACTGAAGATGTTTGGAACCTTTTCCACCGAAACGATAATTGCCCAATGAAAACAGGATTTGGGGAAACATAAACTGACATCAAGCTACTCCTTTTTGCTATGAATTATATTGACTCTGCACTATTGCAAAATTACTTTGGATGATTTGACCATGGAAGAATGTAGTGAAAGGCTCTTTATTACCACACTGACATGTGCAGGGAAATTGCAAAGCACCCAAACAAATCTAAGCTTAGATGAGACTTTCAACTGACTTCAAACAACTCTTCTGCTTTTCTTCTCAGCGTTGTGCAGGCCGCTATTAAAATGTATTTCAGCTGCTTAACAACCAGGTGTTTCCCTTTGTGCAGCAGGGTGGAAGTCACTTTTTCTTCTTCAACCAAATTTTAAGTATTTGGGTTGTTTACTCCAAGCTGCACTGAAGGCAATGAGGGACAGGAATGAAACACGCCCAAGTCTAACTCTGAAAAATAAATATTTATGTATGAGATCGTCTGCCTGTGAAAATCCCTTTTCCAGGACATTGTTGACCTTACTAGTAATGATTTAGGAAGAAGTTTTTAAGGTGTGGATCAACAAATGGGTGTAAATAGGTAAAGGGATATACAGAGATTTGGGAGAACATGCTTAATGCCCAGTGGACACTTTCTGTGAGCACTGGAAGTGCCCAAGTGAATGGAAAACCCAAACTTTCCCATGGACTGTGAGCGAGTTCTTTGTTTGTCTTTACCTACTTTATACTACGGGGTGGAAAGGTTTATAATTTCCTCTGTGTAATAGGGTGAAAGATGGATGTTAGTCAGAGAGCCTGTCGGGCTGGTAAAAGTGAACTGTCAGGAGCTGACAGCGTATGAATGGAGTTACCTTGGAGATGCAATGGAAGACCAACAACTAGACATTAAGGTTTTAATGAATGTCTGCCAAGTGAGGCAGAACGTGTGAAAATGGCATGGCTGGATCCTGGAACAGAGGACTGAGGTGCTGGGATGCTGGAGGAACATGGAGGAGGAGGGATGGTGCAAAGCCACACCTGAAGTCCCTCTGGGGCACTGAGCCCAAGGAGCTGTTTGGAAACATTTGTTTTCTGGGTGCCTCTTGGTCCGGTCACTCAGCAAAGGTCAGCAGGACCAAGAGAAGGGGCAGCCTCGAGGTGCTGGGTTGTGCCTGGCAAACATAGCCACAGCCTGCTGTAAGCACCCGCAGAAACCAGACTGACCTAAATCACAAGAGTAAGGGACTTTAGATAATAATATACACTCTAAACAGCCCACCTTCTAGATAGAAAGAAGAGCTAATTTCCAGCTATCTTACTTGAAATGACCTGGACCTGTTGAAGTGTGGCCAGAGGAGGCCACAACAATGATGCAGGGGGCTGGAGCAACCTGTTCTAGTTGAAGCTGCCCCTGCTCCCTGCAGGGGAGTTGAACTAGATGGCCTTGAAAGGTCCCTTCTAACCCAAACCACTCCATGAAATGAGTTCTCTGTCCAGTCCCTGCTTGTAGTATAAACTCCCAAATGCATCCTGTGCTGATTCCAGGTGAGGTTGAGATGCTAGTGGATCAGTAAAGCAAAGGTGTGTGCATTCAGTAACAGGATATCTTGTTGAATTCCTTTGAATCAGCTGAGACAGAGGGAAGGTGACTGATGTGTCTGTAGATGTGTGTAGCTGTAACTTTATGTGCTGGGACGTGGTGGTTCTGAGGGCTGAGAGCTCACTTCTAAACTGGAGGCTCTAGCTTGGTTCTTCCCAACCACTTTCTGTAAATGCAGCGAAGACTCGGTCTTACTGAGATCTTCAGAGTCTGGCTCTTTTTCTAGTGTTGCAAATAATCTGAGGTAATTCCTTCTGTGGCAGGAACATGTGTGGGACCTGAAGAGCGCTCTTTGGGGTGGTTCTTTTTCAGTCCTTCAGCTCAGCAGCATGAAGTTCACCCAAGCACCTTTTCTTCTGAAGTGGGCTCCTCAGGGCTCAGTGGATGAGCCAGCAGGAGTATTTAACTGCTGCATTTTTGAACCTCACTTTCCCTGGTGTGGTTAGCTGCTCGTCAGGCAAATACTGATCTCAAGGATCCCACTCTGTGCTAGGTCAGCCAGTGCAGGAGATGCAACTCTTGTTTCCAGTTGCTATGTCGTAAGGTTACCATCTTGTGATACGTTATTGAGCCTTAAAACCATGCATGGTTGCTTTCTCGTGAGCTTGGGTGGACACAAGGACTCCCATTACAGAAAGGTCTAGCAGGTCAGTCTACCTGGTTGATGAGTGTGGTTGAAGAGTAGCGTCAACTACTCTCAAATCACCCCAGTGATTTCCATGGAAGCTCAGAGAAGGGCTGTAAACATATTTTGCCTCCCGAGAGGATAATTGCCAGCGTTTACATCTAACAGCCTGTCGCGTTGGAAGGTGAAGAAGGTTGGAACCTCCTGAAGCTGGAGGTGCTTGTCTGTGCTGGTGGGGGGCAGAGTGTTTGGTGTATCCCTGGCCTTTCCTGAGCCACGAGAGCGCTCGTGCCAGCGGGCACTTCAGACCCCTGGAAGGAAACCAAAGGGTGAGGACCTGTCTGGCGCCTTCTTCGTAAACCAGGACCTGACAGATACGCTGCGCTGCACCAAACCCTTCATGGTGTTGCCAAATATAACTCCCAGCGATCTTCCCAACTGTTTCTCATTAGCTGTCCTAGCTCTGCCGCTGCGGCTGCTGCTGCTGACGGGAAGTGGCCTCCACCGCCTGCTCTGGGAACGCTCTTTCCAGAGCTCAGCCTGGACGGGGGTTGTGCCTCTGCTCCTGGGCTGGGTCCAGCTCTGTCCCCGGGAAGGGGTTACAGGCCAGGAGGCTCCTGTCGTCGCTGCCTGCTCCTGGGGGTTTGGGGAGCCGCGGGAGCAGCGTTGCAGCTCGGCTCTTTCCACCGAAGCTCGCAGGCTCCACAGAGATCCCATCTCATCTGCACTGCTCTCAGCCCAGAAACAATCTGTGTGTTTTTGGCTGCGCTTTGGAGAAACTCGTTCAGTCTAATGGTGTTTTGAAGAGGAAAAACAAAAGTGTTGAAGAGCCTGAGGTTTGAGAAGTTGGCTGTGCATGCCGGGTGGAATTCTGAACGGAAAAATCCTGTGGATTTCTGCAGTGCAGAGCTAGTTATGCAGACTGTTGCACTACCCTACGTCTATTAAGTGCCATCTTAAAAACTACAGGGTGGTTGCCACTAAAAGCTCCTATTTAGGTGCATTTCATAGGTTCAAGGTTGCCTCTAACCCGAGACAGAAATAAATGTGTACACTGAATTGCTTGTATTAATTTCCATTAACAAACCTTTCAGAGTTTTATTAGCTACCTATTTCACAAGTGCTATGGATAATTTTAATAACATGGTAATAAACCCACGCTCTCGTAAGGCAGGAGGTTGTAAGAAAATTGCAGGATGAAAGCTGGCTTAGGGTGAGGGCAGGAGATGCTCAGGCAGCTGAATGTGCTGGTGTGGAGCACAGCTGAAGGGAGGGAGGCTGTAGGATTTTTCCTTGTAGGTGTCTGTTGAGTCTGTATGTGTAAAAGGAGGGGAAATCTAGAAATAAAGAAATATGAGAAGTTTAGGGGCACAAAGAAAGATTAATCATAAAATCATAGAATCATTTAGGTTGGAAAAGACCTTTAAGATCATCAAGTCCAACCATTAACCCAACTATACCAAGTTCACTACTAACCCACGTCCCTCAGCACCACATCTCCATGGCTTTGAAACCCCTCCAGGGATGGGGACTCCACCACTGCTCTGGGCAGCCTGTCACAGGCCTTGACAACCATTTTGGGAAATAAATGTTTCCTGGATCATGGCTACAATTTACCCAAACCTGTGCTGGAGTTGTGCTGCACGCATCTGAAAGTCACTGGACTGCATCCTGAACCCCTCCATCCACACGAAGGAGGTTAGTTCTGCTGTGGCCAGGTTGGCCGGGTGAGTGCTGCCTGGTGTTGGACTGTGGTGGTCAGCAGAGCTGCCTGTGCAGGACAGGAGCTCTCTCTTCGTGCAGTGGAATTCCTCCTCGCATTGGGGTGCTGTACACTTGGCATTTTTGTTTGCTTGATGGAAATTCCTAAGAGTGGGTGGGTGCTTTGCAATATTGCTGTCATTTAGGAGAAATTTGCTTTCTAGTGATTGCTTATTTACTTCCCTAAATGAAATTCAAATGGTGGGTTTAGACACTGAAGTTGTCCAAGCCTGTGTTTTGTGAAAGCCCCACTGATGCAGTAATCTGTGTTATGAAAAGCTGTGTGTCCTATCAAAGTGTGACCAGTTTTCATAGAATCCTAGAATCATTAAGGTTGGAAAAGAACTTGTAAGATCAAGTCCAACCATGACCACTAAACCATGTCCTGAAGTGTCATATCTACACATTTTTTGAACTCCTCCAGAGATGGTGACTCCACCACCGTTCCTGATGTTTCACCCCTCTTTCAGTAAAGAAGTTCTTCCTAATATCCTTTTGTGAGGAGCCTGGCTGGGAGGCGATGCTCTTGTCCTTCCTGCCAGGTTGTCCACGCTGGGGTCAGAGCGGTGAATCACAGGAACGTGCAGGGAGCACTATGTTCTCCTGTTCTCCATACAGAGATGGCCATCACAGGTCCCATGGGGAGATGGACTGAGGTGCTGCTGTTAGCCAGGTCGTGTCTTCACGAAGCGTTGTGGGAAGGAGCTAACGCCAAAGCCCTGACCAGACTTGTGTCCCTTCCAGAGACGCGCTCGATGCTGCCAGCGTGCTGTATAACCGAGTTGACGAGGGCGTTCACCGCCTGGTGATGCTGTCCAACAAACGCATCCAGGAGCTGGAGCTGGTGATGGACTTCGAGAAAGTGGAAGAGTGTTTTAAGGAGGTAAGGCCTGTCTGTCGGATCCAGTGACTGCCTGCTGCCGCCCGCTGACTGTGTGTCCCCCCAACAGCTACAGGGCCTGATGGTCTCTGGTGTAAAGGTGGAGAATGATGCCTGTAGACCCTTAGAAAGAACAACTGAATGTAAGACATTGACATAGGTTTTTCAGGGGTACTCAGAACCAAGGCAGTGTTTTACCTGGCATCAGGAGATACCAGTCAAAGTCTCCTGGCTGCTCTCTAGGTGTGGATCAAATCCCTCCACCCCACCCCCCCTCCCCCAAGCATTTGTGATGTTCTTCCATACTTAAAGGCCACAGTGTAGTGGCTCACTGGTAAGCAGTATGCTTGGAGTTGGGCTGTCTTCTCACATTGGTCAGCAAAGGCACCCTCCTGGCCATACTGTTGAGGAGCTGATGATGAATCCACGTGTCCCCTCTGGGCTGTAGCTCCTGCAGGGTCTGCCCACATCCTGCTGCTGAAGGAGTCACATATTGCGTACCCCACGCTAGATGCCTGTCGCCTGTTGTTTAGCTTCCTGTGTCCTGCTCAGGTCCCTGCGATCTGATAAGCTCCAGGGACACCCCTTCCCCTTGGGCTGCAGCCCTGGGCACATTCCTCCTGCCCCTGCGTGCAGCTCTGTGTACAGCCTCCAGGCAGAGGAACAGCCTCTTGTCCTTAACCCAAGAGCCAAGCTCAGCCTCCATCCCCTGCACTTCCGTGGGAGCTTCAGCTTCCCTTCATGTGGTGCTCACTGAAACCACTTGTAGCTGTGGGATAACTTCAGAAGGACCTTTGAAACTTGTAGTTGAGTAGATAGAGAAGCTTAAAAAGCCAAAAAGAACCTCAGGCTGTCTGAGTGTCTGATGAAATCTGATCAGTGCTTTGATTAGCACAGATCCCTAAGCCTGAGCTCTACCTTGACATTATGGAGTCCCATAGTCTCCTCTGCTGTAACTCATCAATAATGACAAGTTTTGTGTATTACTTATTGCCCTTTGTGTTTGAAGGCTTGTGTGCTGTTTGGAGCTCACCTTAGGAATCTGCATCCCTAAGGATCAGTCCTAGGACCAGTTTCTCCATTGCTTTTCTAGGATTCTGGCCTCCTCTCCTCCGGAGAGAACTGGATTTGCAGAGGAGGCTGTAGCCTACTGGTTATTTTTCACAGGCCAAGGTGGATCCAAGAGTCTTAATGACTTCCCATTTGGAGGTAGACGCTCGGGCGCCGTGCACTGTGTGTTCAGGACAAGAATTGTGATGCAAGACCCTAGTAAAGTCTCCCTTCAGGAAGGGACCCAAGAACACAGGTTCCTAATACCAAACAGATGTGAAAAAAAGGCACCAAGGCAGACTGCACCCTGCCCCTGCTTTACGCTGAACTTCTTGTGATTGAGTTGAGCAAAACTGCTCCCAGCTCGCTGTGCTTGCAGGTCATCAACGGTGGCAGCAGCTGCTCCTGCTTTTAAGCTTGCCTGGGAGCTCTAGGCAGCACCAATGTGCCCCTCTGCAGTCTGGGTCACAACGGGAAAACCCACCCCTGTCTCCTCCTCCTGCCCATGGGCTTGTTCCGTGAGCACAGACCAACCCTCAGTCCTCAGACCAGGAGTTTGTTCTCGGCTGTGGGGTTGAGTTGGGATATGGATGCAGATGATACAGGAAAACAGGATGTATGGGCGTTAGGAAACATTTAGCCTGTCCCTTCCCCCAGGTGCAGCTCTGCCTGAGGCATTACAGACAAGTTTACTGACCTGGTTTTAAAACCCACGGTTGGTGGAGATGCTGTTTTCTCCTGCCTGGCCTCCTGGGTCTTCTGTGCTTTTGGGAATGCTCTTAGTCAGTTCTCTACACACGTTTGAGGATAGATGCCCCATACCAGGAAGCATTCCAGGTGAGGTTGGTCAGGGCTCTGAGCAACCTGCTTTAGTTGCAGATGTCCCTGCTCCCTGCAGGGGGGTTGGATTAGATGGCCTTGAAAGGTCCCTTCCAACCCAAATATTCCATGGTTCTGTGGTGCAGGCTTATAACTGTGGCAGTGGCTGGGCCCTGTTGAGAAACCCGCAGTTGCCACGTGGCTTTGTGGTGAGCTGCCTTCTGAGAGTCACAGAGAACTGTGAAACCTTCCAGATGGGGAGGACCTGTCGTTACATCCACCCTGACATTAGTTCTTGTCCTGCCAGTCAGAAAAGGGAAGTGATGTAGGAAATCCGGCGGTGGGGAGATTTTACCCGACTTGGGGGTAACACTAACAGGAACATCAGGCCAGCCTGCAGGTTGCAGAGCCCGCATCAGGCCATGGCTCATTGGAAACTGAGCCCAGGCAGCTGCTTGCCCTGTTTATGCCTCAGGCGAGTGAGCAACAGCAGAGCTTTGCAATTACTCAGTAACCTGAAGTGGAAAGAAAAACTCCTAGCAGGAGGCTCCGACTGAAATGCCAGGATGCGGGGAGAAGCACACACACACGCATTCTTTCCAGTAATGAAATGACCAGCATTATGAGAGCAGTTCCTCGCTCTCTCCACATCAAGACCTACCTTGGTGAGTAGCAGAAGGTGACTAACACTGGAGCTTTTCCCTTTTCTCCCAGGTCAGCAGTTGGATTGAGAATGTCGGCAGAAAACGGCTAAAGGAAACGACCAACCTGGATGATTCGTTGGAGATGCTGCTTCAAACACAAAAGCAGTTCAGGGAGTTTGATCTTGTGGCCAGTGTAAGTGTTGTCTGATTGGAAAAATATGTTCTCCAGTGTCTGAGTTGGTAGCATATGTGCTTTATGTGCCTCAGCCAAACACACAGTGGCATTGGTAGAGGTTCATCACAAAGGCGTGGGTCATTCTGTCACACTACTTTCCTCCCTTGCTTTCCTCTTGTGGACAAAGCCACCAGTTCAGCACCTTAGTAGATGATATGGTTTGAGACTAAAAGAGGGAGGTTTAGACTAGAGAGAAGGAAGAAATGTTTGAGACTGAGGGTGGTGAGCCCCTGGCCCAGGTTGCCCAGAGAGGTGGTCACTGCCCCATCCCTGGAACCATTCCAGGTGAGGTTGGCCGGGGCTCTGAGCAACCTGCTCTAGCTGCAGATGTCCCTGCTCCCTGCAGGGGGGTTGGCCTGGATGGCCTTGAAAGGTCCCTTCCTACCCAAACCATTCCATGATACTTACCAGCCTTGAGGAAAACAACTACTGTGATGGAACCTAGATTTGAGGTCTTTTGTCACTCCCTTGATGTGCTTGTAACACTGCCCTCTGTTGTCATAGAATCATAAAATGGTTTGGGTTGGGTTGGAAGGGACCTTAAAGATCATCTAGTTCCAACCCCCTTGCCATGGGCAGGGGCACCTGCCACTAGAGCAGATGGGGCTCAAAGCCCCATCCAGCCTGGCCTTGAACACTAATCTTAACTTTGATCCTAACTGAGCTGTGGCCTTGCTATGTAGGCTGTTACAAGCTGCTGTGTGGTTAATGTAAATCATAAAAGAGGTCCAGGCTCCAGAATCCTCCTGTAAACAAGTACACCCCTGCTCATGTGATTTGAATCTTAAAAACCAGGCTAATTAGCCCTACCTAGTAATGACCCTGAAGACACTCTAGAAGGATTGGACTAGATGACTGGAGTCTTGTCAGTGGTGCCTGGTGACAGGACAAGGGGCAGTGGGCACAAACTGGAACCCAGGAGGTTCTGTCTGAACAGGGGAAAAAAAATTCTTCAACTGGAGGGTGGCCGAGCCTGGAGCAGGCTGCCCAGAGAGGCTGTGGAGTCTCCTTCTCTGGAAAGATTCCAAACCTGCCTGGATGCCATCCTGGGCACCCTGCTGTGGGTGACCTGCTGGAGCAGGGGGCTTGGAGGCTTGGACAAGCTGATCTCTAGAGGTCCTTTCTAACGCTACCATGCTGCAATTCTGTGACCTTTGAAGACCTTTCCAACCCCAGAGCATTCTGCAGGTTTTATCTTCTGTCCACATCAGTTCTCTGTCCTCATACACAATCCCATTTTGCTTTCAGGAATATTGCAGAAGGGGCCAGGAAGCACTGAAGAGGATGGATCGCTGGGAAGACTTTTCCTCTGTGGATGTGCAATCTTACAGGGTGAAGCTGCAGACCTACCGAGATCAACTGGAGGAGTTCTGCACTCAGCTGGATGAGAACAGGCACCGGATCTGTGAGACGGTCAGGCTGTATGAATTCTTTGACAAGGTAAGACAAGGCATCTGCTGCAGGGAGGAGGGTGTAGAAAGCCTGCTCGGACTCGGTCCAGAGCTTGGTTGTTTATGAAGGGTGTGAATCGTAGCATGTGCACCAGCAAGGAGCTGGATCTGGGACCTGAAAAGCCCCCTCACACTTGACTGTCTGCAGTGATTTTACCGAGTCAGTGTCTGGAAGAAAGTGTGGGGGTGTATTCAAGGTGTTGGCATCTGTTAAGAACAGAGGTCTTCTGCTGTCAGAGCTGTAGATTTTAGGCCTCTCTCATGGCCACAGTGGACAGAAGGCTCGTGGCAGTGCTGGCTCCAACAACAAAGGCCAAGAAATTGGCTGCTTGGGTCCAATCTTGGCCACCATGCCATGGTAGGACGCCTGCATTTTATTGGTGCTACTGGTAAATTCAGCTTGTTGACCCATCAGGAGTTCCTCACTGCTATTGAGCCCTAAATATAGCCCAGCTCCTCTCTCGTGGAGGCCTGTGTGAGGAAATGGAGCACCATAACAACGTGCTGGGGTCTGGGGCTGAGGGAACAAGGACACTGGGTCAGCCCAGGCATCTGGGGAGCAGGAGAAGGATGTGTGTGGGGCCTGTCCTGAGTGCCTGGACACCTCACCACTTAGGCTGAATGCAAATGCACCCATTTGGCAGACCTGCAGTTGGATCTCTGGTTCTTTAATTTCTCAAGTTGCAGATAAATAAACAGTAAGATTTTCAAAGTGCATTTTAAAATACACTTTTGGCAAGCACAGAAGGCCAGGCAGCCTGTGCTCCGTTTATTCCACACTTGTACAAACATTGGGTATTGAAGTTCTCAAATTCCAGAAAGAATAGACACTAAAAGTTAAGCTGTACCAGATGTAGGTGCCACTTAGTTACTGTCTCAAGCTGCCTTGGCAGCCAGAAGTGCTCGGGGAGGGTGGGGGGACTTCAGCTAAACACAAAAACACGGAGAAGCATCCTGTGCGAGGGAGGGAAGTGGAGAAGTCCCAGATCTGTACTGTTGGGACATGTGAGGATGGAGTTTATGTGCTGATGTTCTGCAGGTCCACTCTGGCCTATAAGTGGAGTTTGCTGTGCAGGTGGGGGACCCCCATGCTCTGGGAATGTGTTTTTTTTTATCATTTTATTTTTTTACCCCAATGGAGAGGAGAGTGCCTCCTGGCTGTGGGAGAGTGGCAAGAACCTGTGCTCTGCTCACTCGCTGAGCACAGACGCTTGGGGGCTGCTCTGGTCCCTGAGCATCCCCCTGCTGTCATGGGGCATCCTGGGAAGGATGAATTTGTCATGTTTCTTCTGATAAACCAAGACACACGAAGGTGCCACACCTTCCTTGGCATACTGGCAGTTCTGTGGCCAAGCCAAACGTTGGTCCTGTGTGAACCCACCCAGACAAAGCTGGAGATCTCTGGAGCGGGTTTAAAGCCCCTCAATGCCTGGGCCTTTCCCAGGACACAGATGTTACACAGACCCAAATGATGGGCCATGTCCTTACTTAGGGCATCGCAACACTGCTCGTACAGCTTCTTTTGGGATGATGACAGCTGGGGGATGCAGCCCTCCGGGGTGGCAGCAGCAGCCCTCTTGGTTGTGCATTCCACACTGCACAGCCCCAGGAAAAACTGGCCCGTGGTGGCACGATCGTGTTTGCTTTGGTGTGGAGGAGAGGGAGGGGGGAAAATTCTGATCTCACTGGTTTCAGCCGAGCTGTAAACAGTGCTGGTGGTGTAAACATAACATGTGGGTATGTGAGCTAGTGGCCAACCGAAACCAGGGGTGTGGGGGGATACATCCTGCAGCTGTAGGGTGAGGGCAGAGATCGCTGCGCAGCATCAAAGTCCTTCCAGTGCTGATTATTCTGATCCTGATCTCCAGAACACTTTCTACCTTCCCAAAGGAAAGCCAGTGGTGTGGTCTGGGGAGGAGTGGAAGAAAAGCAGATTTTAGCTAAACTCATTTCATCCTCATCTGATGCTGAGAAGCTTTGACCTTCCTGCAGTGATCTTGCCAGTGCCCAGCCTGAATCCTCTTTAACATATGAGTAGATGTCAACAGGAGGAGTCTACGCTAAGCAATGCCCTTGATTTTCCTTTGTAAAGAGCCCGCAGCGTGCCAGACCCCAGGATTTGGGGAGGAAGCCTGAGGATGCGTAAGCGATGTACCCTGTGGTGATGAGCTGGCAAGCTCAGATCTCTCCAGACGTCTCAGCATACGTGCAGCACCCACCACGGGGATCACAGATCTCATCCTTCACGCTGCCTACTAGGAATGGGAGGCTCCATGTTGCTGCCCCTTCTTCTGCGCGTGGTGGGCAACTGTTCCGTGGGGTGCTGCCGGCGGGGCTGGGGGCCAGGCCAGCACAACCCCTCGTAGTCCATCCCTCCTGGGCTTTGCACGGCCTGGCAGCTCCTGGTGGCCTGCCAGAGCTCCCTGCCGTGAGGCAGGCTGAGCTGGGCCGGACCACGCGGGGCCCCGCGCAGGGCTGGCAGCATTCCCTGCCCAGAGCCACCACCCATGCCAGGCTGGGTGTTCCCTTTTGTCCCCACATCCTTGGTGGCAGCAGGAGCCTCTTGGGGGCCGGGTGGCCGCTGTCCCTGGCCTGCTTGAGTACAAGACTTTGTCGGGAGCTGGCACCACACAGTGAGAGGGGGAGAGCTGGAAGCTCAGCAAGCATGGAGTGTAGGTTGTACCAGAACCACCGATTTCTGCTTCGTTTTGGGGTGCCTGCAGGGCTGGTCCCCCAGACCCCTCTCTCCCACTGCCCACCCTGGCATCACAGTACCACTGCTACAGGCACACCGGCACCGCCAGGAGCCGGAGCAAGTCTCCCTCTCCTCGCTTGCCTTGTTAGCCTTTGCGTTTTTCCCTTTCTCAAGCTTTTTTACCCTAGATGTCTGCAGACTCTTGACTGTACCTTGAGGATCTGATCAATGCTGATCAATACCTAAAGGGTGGGGTTCAAGATGATAGGGTCAGACTCTTGTCAGCGGTGCCTGGTGACAGGACAAGGGGCAATGAGCACAAACTGGAACCCAGGAGGTTCCAGCTGAGCAGGAGGAAAAAACTCTTTGCTGTGAGGGTGGCAGAGCCTGGAGCAGGCTGCCCAGAGAGGTTGTGGAGTCTTCTGCTCTGGAGAGATTCTAAACCCACCTGACACCATCCTGGGCACCCTGCTGCGGGTGACCTGCTGGAGCAGATGGGTTGGACCAGATGATCTCCAGAGGTCTCTTCCAATCTCACCATGCTGGTGTAGTGAAGGAGCGTGATGCTTGCTGCCAAAAGTCACTCGAAGAGAGCACCGACCCGACCAGAAAGGGCAGAGCCCTGTCACACAGCTCAGCACCCGCCTCGCCTGCAGGCCTGCGGTGCCTGGAGCAGGGCAGCTGAATGCTTGTGTCATTTCAGGAGGGCCTGGGGCAGCTCCTGGGGCTTCTTCCTGCTTGTCGGGATGTTGTGCAAGATGCTGCCTCTTTTGGTGCTCGGGGGAGGTATGAGCGTTGCTCTGCCCTGGCCTGGGAACCTCTTGCAGCTCGTGCCCTTGCCTTAGGTTTGCGTTCTGAGGGCAGCTGTCCAGAGTCCCAGTGCTCAGGACAGGCGGGGTGAGGCTGCTGGAGAAGTGGCAGCGGCTCCCTGGGGGGGATTCCTGTGGGCTCTGCTCCAGGACGTGTCCCTTAGCAGCACTCTGCCTTCCACCCCTGGATCCCATCCCTCAAAGGATGCCAGGCTGTAGCCTGGGTCGAGTTTTGGTTCCTCAGTGGTCCTCTCCAGCCGTCCCCAGCTTCTTGGTGCTGCAGGCAAGGAGCTGCTGGTTCCAAACTGTGCTCGGGCAGGGGAGTGTTGCCCAACCCCTCACCCGCTGCGTTGGCATCTCTGCGGGGCGGGTTTTACCTGCGCTCACGGTGGGTCTGCCCCCCCAGCAGCTTCTCCTGCTCTCTCCTCCTCAACCACTTTGTTCTTTGTGGCTTAGAAAACAAAGCCTTTGGCGAGTGAAGGAGGTGCCTGCCCTTTCTGGGGGAGGGCCAGCTGGCCTGCATTTGATTACCAACCCCTCACCCGCTGCGTTGGCATCTCTGCGGGGCGGGTTTTACCTGCGCTCACGGTGGGTCTGCCCCCCCAGCAGCTTCTCCTGCTCTCTCCTCCTCAACCACTTTGTTCTTTGTGGCTTAGAAAACAAAGCCTTTGGCGAGTGAAGGAGGTGCCTGCCCTTTCTGGGGGAGGGCCAGCTGGCCTGCATTTGATTATGGCAGCGCCTCCTCATCCCTCCTCATTTAGGAATGCCAGCCTCTTTACGCTCTGTCCCGTGAACAAGTGGTGCTGCCTCTGGGGCCCGGAGAGGGGCTGGGGCCCTTCTCACACCGCTCCAGGCCGGGCTCGGCCGGAGGACCTCTCTGCACGTCTCCATGCACCTTCCTCCGAGCCGCAGCCACCCGGCCCCGCTCCCAGCTCCGGCCGCAGACACTCGCCAAC